AAATATCTGGCGATGACATATCTGACAAGGGACTTATCTCTAGAATTTATAGAAAACTCCAACACCTCAATAACAAAAAGACAAACAATCCAATTGAAAAATGGGCAGAAGACATGCATAGACATTTCACCAAAGAGGATATTCAGGCGGTCAACAAACATATGAAGAAATGCTCACAATCATTAGCCATTAGAGAGATGCAAATCAAAACAATGAGTAGCAAAGTTGAAAAAGACAGACAATAACAAATGCTGGCGAGGATGCAGAGAGATTGGGACTCTCATACACTGCCGGTAGGACTGTAAAATGGTATAACTATTGTGGAAAGCAGTATGGTGATTCTTTCAAAAGTTGGAATTAGAAATACCATTTGACCCAGCCATTCTATTTCTAGGTAAATATCCTAAAGAAGTGAGAGCCAGGACAAGAATAGACACATGCACACCCATGTTCATTGCAGCATTATTTACAATAGCTAAAAGATGGAAACAACCTAGATGTCCATCAACAGAAAAATGGATAACAAAACTATGGTACATACACACAATGGAATACTATGCAACTCTGAATAATAATGTAGAATATGCAAAACGCCGCATAACGTGGATGAACTTGGAGGACATTATGCTAAGTGAAGTAAGCCAATCCCAGAAGGACAAATATTGTATTAGTCTGTTATTATAAAAAGTCAAGGAAAGGTTTATATATGGAAGGAAATTTTCTTTGTTGGTTACCTGGGGTGGGAGGGGAAGGGAGGGAACACTGTTAGATAGGTAGAGACAAATAATGATTTGGGTGAAGAGAAGGGCAATGTACCAAATGTGAGTGATTAACATGGTGGCAATGAGGAAGAGGAAGGCATAGAGGGGTACAGAGGAGGTACAGACAACAAAGATGAACCCTTTTGCACATACAGTACTGCATTGTCAGTGAAGGCAAACACAGATATTCGGGTGGACAGATGGGTAGACAGGCTGAACTATTAGGTATGTCTAAGCAGGGGGGAGTGTGCCCAAGACCATGTATAGGGCTGGCAGACAATGTTTCTACAAATGTATTGCTATGGTTTGTAATTCCCAGGTGCACTATAGAGTTGACAAGGGATAAGGTTGTAGTCGCTTCTTGGGCACAGCCAACCCAGAGGGAGCGAGTAGTTCAACTTGTGGGCTCGGGACCATAGTCACAGGGGACATCAAGCTCAATTGGCATAACACACTACACAAAACATTGTTCCACCTCCTACTTTGGCGAGTAGCGACTGGGATCTTAAAAGCTTGTAAGCTGCCATCTAGATGCAACGATGGGTCTCTCCTAGTCCAGAGAAAAGAATAATGAAAAAAAACAAAGATTCATGGAAACATTTAGTCCTGGCAACTAATTGCAATCCTCAGCCTATATGACTATGAGACCAGAAGAACCAGATGCTACCCAGCTACCATTGTCAACCACTTGGATGGGGATCTTTGTAGTAGATCCTGGATAGAGAGGGAGAACAAGGTGGAACAAAATTCAAAATCACTAGAAAAAAAAGAGAGAGGAACCAGACTTGCTGGTCTAATAGAGCCTGATAGAACCACGGAAGACTATGGCCCCTAGTTGCCCTTCAGGTCTGGAATTGAACCCACACCTGTGGCTTCCAGCCAAACAAGAGAGATGTATGAGGTGAACATTTACACTAGGTAGATACACTCCTTGGAGAGAACAATCATGGGAGAAAGAAGGGCTGTGTATGTACAGGGACATGGTTCAAGGGGTAGGAGTGCATGGAGGGAAGGACACAGGGAAGAGGTAACCATGGGGAGGAAGTGGGAGGGGAGCTGTTGTACTGTGGTAAATTTTAGTCAATGTCATGAGACAAAGTGTATGTGAACTGCTGTATGGAAAGTGAATTTGCTCTGGAAACTTTCAGCCAAATCACAAAAACAAAAGAAAAAGAACAATTTGATTCTTTAAATGCTGCATAAGTAAAAATTTCATTTTTTTTAATTTAAAAATTACACTGTAGTATCTTATTAATGAAAGTCCCCAGTGTGGCCTGATGTGTGAACTGTAGTTCACAACTCAAAGTCTGAGACTAAAGGAAGACCATGTGTTTAAGTCCTGTCCCACACAAAGTCTGTTCTAGAAGGAAGATGATTCACAGTAGTTGCAAGGCTTCCTGTCAGGTTATAAGAAAACTGTGACTTTTAAAAGACCATATCGAACCATTTACTATTCTTCTTTATATCAAAACTTACCAAACAAGCAAATACAGAGCTAGATGTTACAGAAAATTTAACTATAGTTTATAGACTGGAACTGCCCTGGAAGGGCAACAACAAGGTTAAGGTGATTGAGAACTGCTAGGTTTCCCTTTTCACAGCTCCGGGGTTTGAGTGGAGGCCCGGGAGTCCTACTACATAATGGAACCTCTTTATGTTTCCTGAAAGAACCGTAAGGAAGAGAATGTAACGTGTACTTAGTTACTAACCTGCACGATCTCCTTTTAGCGTGTCCCACACATTACAGTTGAAGTCATCATAACCAGCTAACAGGAGGCGCCCACTTTTTGAGAAGGATACAGAAGTAATTCCACACATGATACTGTCATGAGAATAAGATAGTAACTCTTGGTCTGCACGAAGGTCAAAAAGCCGGCAAGTGGCATCATCAGAGCCAGTGGCAAAGGCATATCCATTTGGAAAAAACTAGAAAGAAAAGCAACACATGTTTATTTCATAGCAGTATACAAAGATCCTTTAAGGCACTGTAACAATAGACTGTGGGCAAGGATAGGTTTCCAAAGTTACACTCTATACCAAAGAGTTGCCTTTTTCCTCCTGGTTGTCCTCTTTGCATTGTTCCCTTTTGTCCCAGAGAAATGGGGCTTTTTTCCTCAACTGAATACAGTGCTGTGGACATCCATGGTCTGCTTTTTTGTTCAAGCTGATCTATCTCTCTAAGTTTGGAAACAAAAGTTATTGTTCACCTGCAAACCAAAACCTAAGTCTTTGGATTAAAACCCTTCTATTTTTCCTGAATTGGACCTTTCTTATTTGGGGTTCATGCTATAAGAGCACCTCATTTATTAGAATGCTTGAAAGTAGTATTTATTTAAAAATCATTCTATGCACTTCAACACTTTAAATGCACAATAAATTTTCCTTAGAAATGCTATTCACTTACACTGACAGCATTAATATCTGACAAATGTCCAATGAAAGACTGTCTACACATTCCATCTCGAATATCCCACAGTTTGGAAGAGGCATCACAAGCACCAGAAACAAAAGTCCTCATGTCAGGACTGAGAGAGAGACTCATCACATCTCCAGAATGCCCGGTGAACGTGGTCGTCTGCTGGGCAGTTTCAATGTCCCATAAAGCACTACAATTGAAAATGAATACACAGAAACACTTACAGGTTATTAGCTTCCAGGTTAGTTCCTACTGCCACACCCAACCCCTAAGTCAATGTTCTTCTGGAATAAACTTACCAAGTTGTGTCTCCAGAACTTGTTATGATTTGGCTGTCATCTAAAAAACGGCAGCAGGACAAGTAGCCTACAGCACAAAGAGTAGCAAATTTTAGGGTATCATTGATTGAATAACTCAATTACAGTATGAAACAGTAAGAAGCATTTTAAAAAATATAATACCTAGGCAACAGCTGTTTGTCATTATTATCTAGAGTTCTACTGTTTAACTATGCTTTGAATATTATTCAACAAGTCCATGTGAGGCACTTACTGTGTCAATGACATTTGTGCCAGGCCCTCTGAAAGTTGTAAAGCTGAGTAATACATCTGGCCCCTGCCACCTAAGATCTCTTCTTAACATTAAGTCCTGTGGAGTTGATTCCAACTCACAGAGATTCTAGAGGACAGAGTAAAACTGCCCACAGGGTTTCCAAGGCTATAATCTTTACAGAAGCAGACTGCCTTATCTCTCTCTCACAGAGTGACTCACGGGATTGAACTGTGGACCTTTCAGTTAGGAACCAAGCACTTAACCACTGCATCACCAGGGGTCTTTGAGAATTATCTAGGAGGGAGATGCTTTCCTCTACACAAATAACTAAAGGGTATAGCAGACTGCGTTAATTAAGCACCTTGGAGAAATATAAGATTATTGTGAGAAATTAGAAGAGCAGCACCAGTGAAGCCCTTATGAAAGAGGTAGCATCTGCCTGCTCAACATTCATCAGTGTTTCAAAATACAGAAACAGCAGGAAAACGTCATTCTAGAGATTTCCTAAATGCATGGTCAATTAGTACCACCAAGAGTTCAGAGGGAGAGAAACCACCAGACAAGTAACAATTAGCACTGCTAAGGAAGGTTGGGGAGCTCTGGTAGCATAGTGGCTAAGACACTTGCCTGCTAACCAGAAGGCTGGCGGTTCAAACCCACCAGCCACTCCTCGGAAGGAAGGTTGGGCAATCCTACTTCCGTAGTGATACTGCCTCGGAAACCCAAGGAGGGGTCGCTATGAGTCAGGGCCGACTCGACGGCACATAATAACAACAACAACAAGGAAGGTTGGGCAATCCTACTTCCGTAGTGATACTGCCTCGGAAACCCAAGGAGGGGTCGCTATGAGTCGGGGCCAACTCGACAGCACATAACAACAACAAGAAAATACTGGGAGCTCTGGTGGTGTGGTGCCTGAGGCATTTGACTGCTAACCAGAGGCTGGAGGCTCAATCCTACCAGCCACTCCTTGGAAGGAAGACTGGGCAATCTGCTTCCATAGAGAATACTGCCTGAGAAACCCAAGGAGGGGTTGCTATGAGTCAGAACCAACTCGATGGCAGGGAGTATTTTTTTTTTTTCTTTAAAGCAAATACTAAGGAGCTCTCGTGGCACAGTGCCTAAGCCATTTGACTGCTAACAAGAAGGCCGGTGGCACAAACCTACCAGCCACTCCACGTAAGGAAGATGGGGCAACCTACTTCCATAGATTTACCATCTCAGCAACCCAATGGGGGGTGCCTATGAGTCAAAATCAACTTGATGGCGGTGAGTTTTAATTAAATATCATACTATTGTACTATAGTGTGCACACTGGCAAATTAAGCAATGCACTATCACAGTGATAAATACTTTATAAACACAATTTTATCATGGTAAAAATATATATATAAAATATTTATCATTTCCACATTTTTTATATGTATATTTAGTGACGTCAATTACATTCATCATGTTGTGCAACCATCACCATTAACTGTTTCCAAATTTTTCCATCACCTTTAACAGAAATTCAGTGTCCCCTAAGCCATATATATGTTGTTGTTGTTGTTGTTATGTGCTGTCGAGTCAGCCTGACTCATAGCGACCCCTCCTTGGGTTTCCGAGGCAGTATCACTACGGAAGTAGGATTGCCCAACCTTCCTTCCGAGGAGTGGCTGGTGGGTTTGAACCGCCAGCCTTCTGGTTAGCAGTCAAGTGCCTTAGCCACTATGCTACCAGAGCTCCCTAAGCCATATATATATAAACATATATATATATTTTTTAATTTTTGTTGTGATTTGGGTGAAAGTTTACAGAGCAAATTCACTTTCCATACAGTAGTTCACATGTATACACTTTGTCTCATGACATGGACTGCAATTTCCCACAATGGAACAGCTCTCTTCCCACTTCCTCTTCATAGTTACCCCTTCCCTGTGTCCTTCCCTCCCATGTACTCCTGGCCCCAAGCTGTCTCCCTGTGCATACACAGCCCTTCTATTCTCCCATGATTGCTCTCTCCAAGGACTGTATCTACTTCAGGTAAATGTTCAGCTCATATGCCTGTCTTTTGTTTGGCTAGAAGCCACAGGAGTGGGTTCAATTCCAGACCTGAAGGGCAGCTAGGGGCCATAGCCTCAGTGGATCCACCAGGCTCTATCAGACCAGCAAAACTTATTCCTTCTTCTTCTTCTTTTTCTTTTTTATGACTTTGAGATCTGTCCCACATCTATCCAGGATCCAGGATCCAGGATCCAGGATCTCTATCCAGGATCTCCTACATAGATCCCCCTCTGAGTGGTTGACAGTGGTAGCCAGGCACCATCTAGTTCTTCTGGTCTCAGTCATATAGCTAAGCCATAAATACATTCTTAAAACATATTTTCAACTTTGTAATTTAAGTATGGATGCCAAAATCTCGTAATGAAATAACAAAAGAGAATATAAAAAATATATATTTGCTTTTTGGATTTTCATTATAGCTTGAATTCTTTATAGTAAACTTAATCATTTTTTATAAAAATAATCAAGCTATTTAAAAAAAAAATTATTGTGATTTGGGTGGAAGTTTAAAGAGCAAATTCATCTTCCATAGAGCAATTCATACACATTTTGTCTCATGACATTGACCGCAATTCCCCACAATGTAATAGCTCTCTTCCTACTTCTTTCCTGTAGTTATCTCTTCCTTCCCATGCACTCCCACCCCCCTGAGCCATCTCCCTGCACAAACACTGCCCTTCTGTTCTCCCATGACTGATCGCTTCAGGTACTGTATCTATCTGATATAAATGTTCACCCTATATACCTATCTATTGTTTGGCTGGCAGCCACAGGAGTGAGTTCAATTCCAGACCTGCAGGATAGCTAGAGGTCTTAGTCTCAGGGGTCTGAGCAAACCCGGTCTTTTAAGAATAATTCAGCTGTTTTTAAGGAAAAGTAAAATAATGGTTACCACTTGCATGAGTATAAGGAGTCAGTGTTTCCCTGACACTCTGCCATCCAATTAATACTCATCCTTTAGCCAGCTGAGCACCAACAGCCACTCGTTTTCCTTGATCAGCATGTTTAAGAAGGGAATCAGGTTCAGTAAGAAAAGGTAGCAGTGGAGCTCACCTGTGTGACCTGGTAATTCTCGGCTCACTCTCACGTTTCCCTCTCTGGTTTTTAAGTTGTATATAGAGCAGATATTGTCCAATCCTCCACAAGCAACATAATTACCAGAAGGAGCATAAGCACAAGTCATCACCCAGGAAGATCTCAGAGGAATCGCATGGATCTGCAGAACAAACACAATTCACAAAGATTATTAACTGAACAAAGATTATGGAAACGAGCAGCGATTTTTCACTTATTTACATTGAAGCAAGTATTACTAAAAATTAAATACAGTTATGAAGAATATCCCAAATAAAATAAAAATGGCAATGGTTTGAAAAAGTGAATAATGAAAAATAAAATACTAATCCACATTAAAATACCTATTATTTTTTCTGTTCCATCAAATCATCTGAATTTAAGAAGTGCTCTCTTCAAGCTTGCAAGAGGTCATCCAAGACACAACTGTTGGTTTTCTCCCTCTGGAGCAAAAGAGAATGAAGGAAACCAAAGACCCAAAGAAGAAACTAGTCCACAGGACTAAAAGCCCACACTAACCACAGTCTCTTCTATCCTGAGACCAGAAGATCTAGACGGTGCTACTGACTATTCTGATGAGGGACTCAAGTCCCGGACAGAATGGAGAAAAATGTAGAACAAAACTCAACTTCCTATGAAAGATCAGATTTACTGGACCAATGGAGACCAGGGGAACCCCTGAACCTATCTCCCTGATACTTTCTAAACTTGGACCTAAAACCACTCCTGGAGGTTTCCCTTCAGTCAAATAACAGACTGGCTTATAAAACAAACAGCATCACTCGTAGGGAATGTGCTCCTCTAACAATCTACAAGACTGAATGGTCAACATTTACCCAAAACCAAAGATGAGAAGACAAGGAGGGGTAGGAAAGTTAGATAAATGGAAACAGAACAAACAACATGGAAATAATGAGAATGCTGACATACTGTGAAAACTGTAAACAATGTTATGGAATAATCTGTACAAAAATTATTAAATGGGAAACTAATTTGCGATGTAAACCTTCACCTAAAACGATAATAGAATGATTCCTGAAAACAACACTTTTTTGTTCAAAAACAAATTTTTTTTTGTTCAAAAAAAGGAAAAGGAGAGAAGTGGAAATAGATAATTAAAGCTATAAAAAGAACCCCCCCAAAAAAAGCGTTGTTTTCAGAAATCATTCTTTTAATAAAAGCAAGGACATAAAGATGTTTTAATGCTAATATAGTCATCTAAAAAATTATGTGTAGCATGTTAAAGACACAGATTTGAACCAAATTCTTTGCTTCTGCAGCAGTGCTCATAAAAGGAACTTCCTCCAACATGTCACTAAACAACTAAAAGGGAGGCAATTAATAAGTATCAGTCAATTAAAACGGTTCTTCCACAAAGAGATGCCACTACCATCCTATTCACAGGGCACATATTCTGGGATCCCATTCCAACAAGAATAGTTATGCAATGATCTAGTCACATCATTGTCTGGTGTCTTGTTACCCAACAACAATCATTCGGAGGCCATGTGGCAAAATATAATCTGTTTGTGAATAACAAGGATAAAGTGTTCACATGGGAAAACAACGTATCATTTAATTACTACTGTGCACTCATTTTATCTAAAATAATAATTTAGAAACAAAATTTTATTTTGTTTTAGGAACAAGATCCAGGTTTAATGATGATTAATACAGAAAAACTATTATATTACAAAATTGTCTTGGCTAGTTTTGAAAAAAAAAACAGAGCTCTGGTAGCACAGTGTCTAAGGCACTTGACTGCTAACCAGAAGGCTGGCAGTTCAAACCCACCAGCCACTCCTCAGAAGGAAGATGGGGCAATCTACTTTCTGTAGTGATACTGCCTC